ACTGTATAAAGCAATATTTAAATGGGCAAGATGTTTTTCACCTTCCTTTTTTTTAATGTAAAATTTGACTCAACCTAAAAAATATTAAATTTAATAAAAAACTAATAAATTTTCCTATTTTAGAAATTTATATGTTTTACCTACCATTTCTGCTGAGACATACTTGACTAGACTTTTATTTTTACAAAATTGACTTGTCAAATCTTTTTTACAAAATATTATGAAATTGACTCGTAAATAATAAGTTTTCTGATGCTAGATTTTTAAAATAAAAATTAAAGTTTTGTGGCAATACACATACCAAAAGGATTATCATACATAATTTTATTATGTTAGACTATCCCTTGGTTAGGTATATAGTTATTATCTTTTTTTTTTTTTTTCTATCCAAAGTTTTTTTTTCTATCCAAAGAAACTTTACTCTTTATTCTGAAAAAATGAGATGCAAAAAATTCCTCTTGCTGGGTGACCATTACTCCTGAAAACTTTTTAAATTCAATTTACTTTTGAAAAACAAATCAAAGAAGTTCAAATAAAAAAGCAATTTTTATTTGAACTATTAATTAAATATTTCACAAAATAATTCAAAGTTATTTTGTGAAAAATAAAACTTTGTTGCAAAAAGTTTTCTAAATGTTCAAGAAATTCATGAAAACTGCACAACTTTCTATTTTTTTTTTTTTTTTAGATGTTATAAAAATTTTGTTTAACTAATAGGATTAAATTTTAAATTTTTTTTTTCATAATTTTCTGATATAATTTTATTATAACGCTGTCAAATATATTTTATATTTTGTTTGTAAATCCAACAAGCATTTTTAAAACTAGATGTTGTCTACTTAATAATGTTAATTATGTTAATTGTCTATGTTAATTAAATATTAATTAAATGTTAGTTATTTTAAATATATGTTAATTAACATGTTAATTATGTTAATTATTTTAAATATATGTTAATTAACCAGCAGTTAATTTTAAAATGTTTAATGCCAACTTAAGGGTTTTTATTTTTTTAGGATCAACAAATTGATGCTCGTGAGCTCCAAACCTGCTTAACATCTTCAGGAATTGGTGGTTCATATCAACAGTTCAGTTTAGAGACTTGCCGTATTATGATCAATATGCTTGATAGAGATTATTCTGGCAAAATGGGTTTTACTGAGTTCAAAGAATTATGGAATGCACTAAATCAATGGAAGGTGTTAATTTAACTTTTATAAGATAATACAAATAAACAAGTTTAATCTATAGTTATTTTTCAGTATATACACACATATACAAACACGCATAAAGTGTGCAAAAAATAAAAAGTGTTTTATAAATATTAAACAAAAGGCACAGGCTGAATGGTTATTTTTAGATTGGCGTGTGCAGTTTAAAATTTTTTTTGTGTGTGCTATTTAAATTAAAATAAAAACAGCAAAAAGAATGCTTAAAACAAATAATATTTTGATAAAATAATTTTTAAAAGTTCGGCAAAATTTACATTTTATTTAAATTCCAGATTAAATAATTTTTAAGATAAAAGGCAAAAAATAAAAAGTGTTTTATAAATATTAAACAAAATAAATGAAATAAATACTAAAAAACAAATTTTCTGTTTAAATTCTAAATAACATAATAAATTTAAAAAAAGGCAACAGAAAAAATAAAAATGTTTTTATATAAATATTAAACAAAATAATAAAAAAAAAAAAGTTCAAAAATTTTAAATTTTACTTAATATTTTATTGAGTGTTTATTTTAGACTACATTTATGATTTATGACAGAGATCGATCTGGTACAGTAGAGCCTCATGAAATGCATCAAGCTATAGCTTCTTGGGGTAAGAATGTTTTCTAGTAATTTTTGAATATAGGGATTCGTACAAGGTTTTCAGTGTGTTTATACAAGTAACTTGTACACACTGAAAACCTTTTATAAATCATTTTATTCAAAAATTAATATATATATATATATTTTTTTTTGTTGTTGCTATTTGTATTAAAAAAAAAAAAAAAATTTTAATGACATCTTTTATTAATACAAGTAAATTAAAATTACTTTTTTTTTACATAATTTTTCAAAGAAAGTTAAATTTTCCTTGAAATAATGTGTAAATTTTTTTTTTCTAAACAATAATTTGTTTATTACATACATTCATCCAGGTATAGACCTGGATGAATGTATGCAAATTTAAATTGCTTCTACAAAAAGTGTTATATTTAAGAAATTAAATTAAAGACCTCATCTTGCTTACACATGATGAAAAAAATGGGAAAATTTAGCTATAGGAGAATTGCCACGGCATTATTGACTAGACCTTTAAAATGTTCTTAAAGTAGAAGTTAATGATTTCAACATAAAAGTGTGATAAATGCAATGAGTGTTGGAGATAATCTTATGATGACAGAAATCATGTCATGGCTTTGTTTTGGAAACCCCTATTTTAATTTTTGGGTCAAAGGAAACTACTGCTTTGATTATTTTTTTTGTTTATTTTTGTTTTAGCATTTATATATATTATACTTGGTAACAAGATAACAATTCATACTCTCTAAAAATATTGTGTATAAAATAATTTTTAATAAAGAGTTAAATCTATAAAAGAAATTTTTAATTTAAGTCTGTAGATTATTTTCACTTACATGTAATGGAAACTTTCATAACTATTGAAAATATTCAAGAAGAAATAAAATGTTTTTTTATTGTTATTTTTTTTTTTTTTTTCGCTTTTTTTTAAATATTTTTAAAGATTTGTTTTACTATTACTATGTTTGACTGTTTTTTATTCACATTTGGTAATAATGTACATAACAAATTAAAAATAAAGGATCTTAATTCTTTCATGTTTACTCTCATAAGATTAGTGACAAATTTTATAAAAGTGTAAACATGAAAGAATCAAGTTATTTTCGAATATTTTTTACTTGCAATGTGCATTATTATTCCCAACTAGGGAAACAAAATTTACAAACTTTAATTAAAAACTTCTTTTATGGATTAAATTCTTTATTAGAAAATAATTTTTTACACAGTATTTTGAGGGAGTATGAATTGTTATTTGTTATTAAGTATAGTACATTATGTTTATTAATACCAAGAAGAAGAAAATAAAGATTTTTTTTTTAATCAAAAACTGTCTTCTGTAAGAATCAGGCAGAATCAATTTACCTATTTTATCATTTTTAGTTCTCAAATAGCCAATAAACAAAATCAAGTGAAATACCCATTAGAAAGTATGCAGTTTTTTCTATTTTCAAGTTTAAAATAGTTTTTTGTCTACATTTGCTCTATATTCAGAAATTATTTGTCAGATTTGTCAGACAGTCTTTTGTCTTTTTGTCTACATTTTTTTAAGTTTTTTGTCTACATTTGCTCAATATTCAGAAATTATTTGTCAGACTGTCAGACAGTGCAATATCTAGAGAACCAAAAAAAATTAAAATAACATAACTTTTTTAAGAATTTACCTTTTAGTATGGATAAAACATTACTAAAAAGACACAATATTAGAGAGGGTCACTATTGATCTCTGCTTGATTCATAAATACGTGTTGAATTATTGTTTAACTTTTTTTTTGTCACTATTAGCTCAATCAAAATAAAACTTGTCGCGTATCACCATAGGTTGAAATAAATGTCAGACATTGCCCCCTCCCCACATCCTGGAGTGTTTTTGAGACCTGTTTGAGGAGGGCAAACAACTTAGGTTTATCTTTACTGAAAAAATGAACAATAATTTGTTGCCTTTATTTTAAAATGTAAGCCATTGTCACACTTGGAAGGGTGTCAATCGGCCGACACTTATTTTTGACTGGCATATCTGTATACTCAAATGTAACTATAGAAATAAAAAAACAATAAGAAACATTTTAATTAGTAAAAGCGTTTTCATTACGCAAATAATGAAAATGCTTTTATTTTAATCAGTTAAGCATTGTGCAAGTAATAAAAAACATTTTCACATTCGTTTTTAAGTTAACAAGCCATTTATATATTAATTAGTTTGACATCAAAGTTGTGTTTTATATGATTTATTGTCCAACTTTTGACTATTATAAAAAATTCATTTTTTTTTTATAACGATTAAATTACTAGTTTAATATTCAAAACAAAAGTTAAAAATCGGAAATTTTACATCCATGCCATAGGCAAAAAATCATTTTGACAAAAATTTAAATGTAATTAATTAAAAATAGCATTAAATTTTTATTTTTAATAATTAGATATTGTAAAAGAAATAATATAATTTTTATTCTTATTCATTAAAAATTTGAAAGATTTTATTTTGCAAATAGTTTTGACAAAAAACAAAAAAAAAAAAATTCACAATCTTTTAAAATATTGAAAAGTATAGACTCTACTTTTAAACATCAAAAAGTTTATAACATTAAAAAGTTTAATATTTAAAAGTTTGAAACGTTTAAAAGGTTTTAATTTAGTATTTAAATGGTTTGTTTCAATTCCTTTTTTTTGTTTTTTTTTTGTTTTTTTTTTATGTTTCCAACTTATAAAATGCTTTTAGACATTTGTATATATGCAAGAGATTTCTCAAATTTTATAATCTTAAAAATGTATGTGTCAGGTCTTGTCATGAGATTTCATTAGTAAAAAATATGCTTATTAATAATAAGCAATATAATATGCTTATTAATAATAAGCAAATAACTCAGTTTTGATACTTACATTGTTTAAAGTTAAATTGTGTCATAAGTGTATTTTAAAGTACTGCGTTGTAATTTAAAAAGAAAAAAAACATAACAAAAATTACTAATGAAATATAAATTCAGTATTTGAAAAAGATTATATTTCTTTATAATTTAATTTTTAAAACAATATTGTACTTTAGATAATCTGGTGTTTGCTTTATGGCTTTATTTTCTTAATAAACATAAAAATATTAAAAGATAATTTAAATATTCCTAATCAAAAAAGGTTTTCACTTAACCTAAAATTGCTATTTCATACATAAAATACGAGCTATCTAACGCTTATTAACAAAGCCTCTGTACCAGCAACCCTGATGTGTACTTACTATGTTTTCCCTATTTAGGTCTGTTAATATGCAAAATACTGTTGCTTTCTTATTATTATTGTTATAATTTTTATTATTGTTGTTGATATTGTTATTATTATTATTATAATTAAATTATTATTATCATTATCAATACTGTCATTATTATTAGTATTATTATAAAAAGTAGTTATACTTCCATCGAGGTTTGTGCTACTGAATAATTTATGATAATTAGACATACTAATGTTAATAAGCCTACTATTTTTGTATGGTTACAAACAATGTCTGTATAAATTATATAATTAAGTCTGATAAATGTTTAATCACAAGACCAAAAACTATATTAAAAAATAGTCATTTAAAATAAAAATGAAAATATAGAATTAAATTTCCTGTCTGCTTGCTTAATTTTTTTTGAAGAAAGTATGAATTTTTCTTTGTTTTAGATTATTATGGTTTCTTTTTTAAATTAAAATCTTTTATATGTAATAAGTGTAGGTTTATTTTGTAATTTCATTTTTCATTTACTGATTGTTGTTGGTTTGTAGGATATAATTTGAGTGGTCAAGCGCTTAATATCATTATAAAAAGATATTCTGATAATGGTCGAATTAAGTTCGATGACTTTGTTTCTGCAGCTATAAGGTTGCGAATGTTAACAGGTAAAAAAAAAACATTTTTTTCTGATATCAATTATATATTTGTTGATTCAACACTAATTACTTATATATAATTTAGATCATTTTCGACGTAGAGATGCCACTCAATCAGGATATGCTAGTTTTGCTTTTGATGATGTATGATTGTTTTTGTGTATACATTTTGTTTTAGGTTTTATATTATACATTTTTATTTATTTATTTTTTTGTCATAAATTTACTGATTGCATTAGTAATTTATTTTTTATGTTTTAGTTCATTCAAGTGACAATGTTTTCATAAGAAGACAATCTTATGAAGAAAACCTATTGCACTGAAGATTTTTATGTCTGTCATTTAGTGATAAATTTTTTTGATTTTTTTCTATTTTTTTAAATTTTATTTTTTTTTTGTTATTTTTAAGTTATTTATTTTTGATCCTTAACTAAAAAACATAATTTATTCTTTTTTTTAAAGAAATAGAATTCTAAAATTTTTCCGTTTTTCCGTTCATAAAATTTGATCATAATACAAGAAATAAATAAAAATGTGTTTATAATTCAGTAAAATCCCTTTTAAAGTGACATTTGTATACAAACAGTAGTTATTAGTATACAACAATACAGTATTATACATTAACCTTATAATACTGTATTTATACTTTTGTATTGCACCTTAAATATAAAATGCCAATTTGAATGCATGTTTTTTTTTCAGTGAGAAAAAAGTGTTTTTCTGTTTTAGTAGGTTTTTTCCATTCATCCAAACCTTACATGTCAGATGATATGTGTGTATTTAAAGTTATGACTGTTAACTTAAAAACAACATTTGTATAAAATATATATATATATATATATATATATATATATATATATATATATATATATATATATATATATATATATATATATATATATATATATATATATATATATATATATATATATATATATATATATATATATATATATATATATATATATATATATATATATATATATATATATATATATATATATAGCAGCCTCCCAGCACTTGCATGCCAAAAAATAAAAGCGTTTTGTTTTAGATTGCAACAAAACTTTTTTGATCATTTGTTCAACTTGTATGAAAAATGGCTTTTATTTACCAATTTTTATTATTATTATTTTATCTAGTATTTATTCAAAGCATTCTTTCGCTGTTATTTTAATTTAAATTATGTTAGCCTGTTATTTTAATTTAAATAGCAGGCTAGCATAAAAATGACCATCTGCCAGCTCTTCCTTGTTCGCTGGCATTAAACTTCAAACAGAGAAGGCTGTTATATATATATATATATATATATATATATATATATATATATATATATATATATATATATATATATATATATATATATATATATATATATATATATATATATATATATATGTATATATATATATGTATTTATATATATATATGTATATATATATATATATATATATATATATATATATATATATATATATGTATATATATATATATATATATATGTATATATATATATATATATATATATATATGTATATATATATATATATATATATATATATATATATATATATATATATGTATATGAATACACACACACACATATATATATATATATTAGTTTGAAAAATATCAAAACATGAAAGGTAAATGAAAATGAAAAAATGAAGCCATGCTTAAACAAGCCAAACTAAAAGATGCCAAATTATCTTTTGAAGACATGTATGAAATCGGTTGCAAAATTGGTTGGTAGTATTTAAATTTTTTGTTAAAATGTTTATCATTTTATTTAAACTTAATTTTTTTAATCATTTTATTATATGTATTTTTATAAAATAAAACCTTTTAATATAAGTATTTTTATTAACACATCTCAATTTCTAATCATGGTGTATTTTCTGTAATTGTTTATAAGAAACAAAGGAATGAAATTATTTCAATTGTTGATAGAAATAAGCTTGAATTAATTTAATTTTTGATTGTTTTTAATTAAATGTTTGATTTACTATAGTAGTTAAAAGTCTTAAATAGGCTAACCAAACTGTTAAGTGATTTAATAAACTGTTTTTTTCTATAAACTATTTTTTGTATAAATTATTTTAAATTAAGCCATGGCATGTTTTCTATTTTTCTTTTTTCTTTTTTTTTTTTTTTTTTTTTTTTTTTTTTTTTTTTTTTTTTTTTTTTGTTTATATTAATTGTAAATGTTTTTTTTAGTAATTAACATGTAATATAAAAAATAAAAATAAATTAATTGTCAGTATAATATATATATATAGGCCTTGTTTTAAAGCGTTTTGCATAGAGCAATGTGCCGGAAGGCTGGAATAAGTGCGAACTGGCATATGTGCAAATTGGCATAAGCGCGAAATAACAATTTGCACTTATGCCAATGTAAATTTATTCAGCCCACTTATGCCAATTCACATTTATGCCAGTTTCTGTAACTGCTTTGCACTTATGCCAATGTTTGTAAGTTTGTTCGGCGCACTTGTGCCAATTAGCACTTATGCCAGTTTTTGTAACTTTATGTTACAAAAACTGGCATAAGTGCTAATTGGCACAAGTGCGCCGAACAAAGCACAAAAACTATATGCCAGTTTGCACTTATGAAATTTGGCGCTTATTCAGTCGTACTTGATTTGCCTATGCCTTAAGCGATTTTGGTTAAGCGACTTTTCATCATTTTTTAACCTTTAAATTATTCTATAAGCATAGATGATTTTGTTGCGGAAATTCCTGGAATTCCGGAAATTTACTTAAAACACCTTTAATTTTTCCAGAAATTTCCAGATGTTTTTTGATATTAATTAGAAAAAATATATATATATTTTTACATACAATTTTACATAGAACAACTTTTGCATTTAAACAAATATGTTTTCTATAATCAAAATTTTCACGAGATCGATTTTCGCAACTTTTTTTTTTTTTTTTTTTTTTTTTTTTTTTTTTTTTTTTGCTTTTTTTTTTTGCTTTTTTGCTTTTTAATTTATTCAAACTTTTTCGAATATTAGAAATTTATTTTTGTAAAAAGTTAAATAATCTAAATTCCCTTTTAAAATAATTTAAATTCCGTTTGTCAGTTAAATTCAATCAAATTTTAATAAAATAATTTTCTGTGATTTTCATAAAGCCAAATACTCATCTATGTATAAGCGATAAGATAAAAGAAGTAATTAATTAAAAAAAAAAATCACATTAAATTTTGAATGACCTTTATGTTAAAATATTTGTTACAAAAGTTTGAATGACAACCATGTTAAATAAAAGCGCTATTTACTTATGAAAAAAACTCTAAAAATAAAAATTTATTTTGTTTATATAATTATATATAATATAAGTATATAATTTTGTTCTGATAAAAAAAAAGTATTTAGTTTAATTTAGATTTAAAAAGTATATTTAAGTTTATTAAAATTAAAGTTAATGCTTGGGTTTAACTTAACTGTCAAATTTATTTAAAAATATTACTAAATATTGTTCAATATTTAAATTTTATTATTATTATTTTTTTTTATTAACTCATTTTTATCACAGTTGTTTTTCAATTTTCTTTCTTAAACATTTTTTTTTTTTACTCAAAATTAAATCTTAAATAAACAGGGGGGGGGGCATTTATTTATATTTTGTGCAATTTCTTAACTTATTTGTTATGTAAGTTTAAATATAATTTTATTAATTTTGATTTAATTTTGTTAATTTCTTAATTCAAAATGGGAAAAAGAAATTATTTCTCCTGAAAAAAAAAAATTATTCTCAAAATCAGTTGGATCAAATTTGTCTAATTGTCAAGTTGCAAATCAATTTAATGTTTTTAAGACAGCAGTAGGACAACTTGTTTAACAATATAAAGCTCAAGGAACAACTATGTACAAGAAGCAAACAGTTCGACCCAAAATTATTATTAAAAAAGAGAAAAAATTGCTGGTAAGAATGTCAAAAGAAGATTCAAGGAAATCTGCTGTGGCCTTGAATGCTGAAATACTGAATTTTCACTAAATGCCATGTGTTGACTACCAAATGTTGTCTTCATAAGGCTTCCTTGTTTAGCATAAGACCAGCAAAGAAACTACTTGAAGATTCCATTAAATGTTATAGTCAAGCTAGTAGAGTCAATGTAGCGTTGTTATTTTCAGATAAATAATATTTACTATATTCAGTAAATATTTTAAGAATATTTGAATGTAAGTTGTATGCAAAAAAGCTTTGCAAATTGTATGTCTACTTTTAGTGTGAAAAAAATATCTTCAAGATAAAGTAATTTTAAAATTTGTTTTAAGTTCTTATTTGTTTATTTTACCAAGTCAATAATTGCAAATATTAGTTTCTTTACTGCTAAATCATGAAGGGCCTATTTGTTCTCTTGGACTATTTAGATTTAAAGAAACTCACCTCCAATGCCTTACATCAAAGTTATGAAAATAAAAAACCTTTATTGTGTAAACAAATTTTTATAAGGTTTTGTTTTAAATACTAAAATGGCAAAACATAAATTCACTCTAATAGCTTTTTAGAACTTTGAATTTGAATAGAACTTTGTTCATTAATCTGATTTAAATTATTGCTGAAACTTTTAAATCTTTTTGCTGAATGTTTTTCAAATTTTGTGAAAGTTGTGTTCATATTAAAATCAGGAAGCTAGTACAAAAATTTTTTGAGGATTTTTTTTTGGCTTTATTTGTAGTTCCATGCTTAGGGTCATCCATAAATTTCATCACGTTTTAGGGGAGTTGCATGACTTAATTTGTGGACAACCCCTTATGTAATTTAAAAACTATTATCAACATTTTATTTTAGGAAAAGGAACCTTTGGTTTATCAGAGCTATATTTTGCTAAACCTAGAAATGATACCTATGATAAAAATTTGCAAGTAATGCGTAAAACAAAGATTGAAAGGCTGTCAAATGAGGCTCTAGAGGAACTGCAGGTATATATTTGTTCTTAAATAACCTTTACCGTGAGCTTCTTATAAAGTTGTTATTTTTTTTTTTTTTTTTTTTTTTTTTTTTTTTTTTTTTTTTTTTTTTTTTTTTACCTTCAATAATTTTAGAAAGAATTACACCTTTCAGAAATGATTGACTGTCCTGGTGTTTTATCATTTTATCACTCATTTGTCAAAGATGAATACATATTTACCTTTTTTCCATTATACAACTATGGTATGTGTTTTGGAAAACGTTATAAAGTTTGGTGATTGTTTTTAATAAAGGTATATAATAAAGACCACCATTATTATTATTATTATTATTATTATTAGTATTATTAAAATAATTGATTCAGAAGAAAAGATAATCGTCACTGATATTGAGTAAAATAAAAAAATATGAGCATCATAGTATGATACTGTATCTAAACAAAATAAAATTTTTATTTAAGATAAAGTTTTTGTTTTATATATTAAAAACTTTTCAAAATTGTAGCAACCAGGGGGAAGGGGCAGCAGGGGCATTTGAAGAAATCGCAATTCTGCAATTTCTTCAAATCCCCCTGCTGCAATTTTGAAGAAATTGACTGAAAAAATGACTGAAAATGACTCAAAACTATTTTGAAGTAGTACTGCCCCCCTCCCCAATGTATTTTTTGTTCCTATGGGCCTGAACCTGGGTGTCAAAAAAGCATCTTTTTTTAGAGATTTCAAAAATAATACTTATTTGGAAGAAAAGCCAAGATTTTATTGCTAAAAAAACATGCTGTTTTTTTATAATCTTTGATGTAAACATTGAAGAGTAGACAAAAATAATAAATTAGATATCAGTAAAAAAAAAAAAAAATTAATTTAAGATATATAAAAATAGTTTGAGTATATTTAAATTAAAATATTTTTTGCAAATTATGTTTTTGTTTTATTTTTTAGTTATGATTAGCTATAGAGTCAGATGTATAAAGATAGTTGGATGACTAAAAAAAATTTTAATGTTAATTTTTATTCCCTATGCTACAAAAAAAGACAAAAATAAATAAACAGAAAATACAATTAAGGTGTCAAATTCTAAAGGAGGTCAAACCCCAAGACACCTAATGACATGGTGGGTGCCATATATTACCAAAAATATTTAAGCATCTTTTTTTTTTTTTACTTTAGTAACTTTCTTATGGAAGATATTGTTAAAATGTGTCTCAAAAAATGATATTTTTCAATTTCTGTTTAAAATTGTGAATTTTTTTACAATAAATTTAACAAAATTTAATAGTTATTTTAATCTAATTTTTTGAACTTTATATGAAATTTTGCTTCTATTAAGACGCAACTTGATATATTTAAGGAAAAAAATATTTTTGGTGATATATGATACCCAAATATGATACCTATGTCGTTAGGTGATTCAGGGTGTGTCTTTCTTTAGGAGTTGACACTTGGCATTTTCTTGATTTTTGCTCCACGAATAATAATGTGTAATCTTATAAATATAGTTAAATCCCTACTGTATACAGATATTTTATTTGATACATAATTAGCTTTATTTATTTTTAAGATATTGTTTTGGTTTTATTTTTAAGATTTTATATTGATAAGTATTTTTTTAATTAAATTTTTTTAAATAAATAAGAAATATGTTGTTTTTACAGTATATTGACACCATTTGCTAATAACGTCTTTTTAATTATATAAAAAATAATAGTTATTTAAATAAATTTTTTTATTTTATGTTAATTTTTATATGGATTCAAGTTAATAAAGTTGTTAATACAATTCCCTAATATTAAAAAATATTTTAGGTTCTTGCTATGATTTATTATCATCAGAATTTCACCATGGTCTACCTATACAACTTGTGGCTGTGGTTATTCGCTCAACTATTCTTGCATTAGAATATCTTCATGATTTTGGTATAATACACAGGTAATTATGCTACAAAAATGCTTACTCTTTATATAGTTATAATAAAGCCTATCCTGTAAATTTAGGATTATAAAAATTTATGGGTGTTCTTGCAAAGTTTTTTTGAATATTATACTTTGTTATTTTTTAGAGCTGTTAAAGCAAGCCATATACTTCTTAATTCTTGTGGGAATGTTTGTTTATCAGGTCTTTCGTATAGTCTTTTATTACCTAAAGAAAATCAAATAGCTTACGATTATCCTAAACATGCAGTCCAGATGCTTCCTTGGGTTTCTCCGGAAATATTACAGCAGGTTTTTTGATTATACTTATGTTAGGCTTAAAAAACTTTTAACTACAATAAATATTATAACAAGAAGTGATAACATTTACACTATTTACCATTATTTTTATTCATTATTTTTATTTAATATTTTACTATTATTTGTTATAATTTTTATTTAATATTTTACCATTATTTACTTCTCTTTACTTTTATTTTTTATAATGCTAATTTAATATGTATCTTTAGAATGTTAAAGGCTATACTTACTTAACAGATATTTATAGCCTTGGTATCACAATTTTTGAACTTGTGTCTGGCACAGTTCCATTTCATGGCATGAAACCAACGGAGGTATTTAGTATTTAAATAATTATAAGAGTTTCTACATTTATATTTGTAAAGTTTTATCGTTTTTTTTTATTATTATTATTTTTAATTCTACTTTTCTAATTTGTATTTTTTAAGATTTTACTTCAAAAACTATGTGGTGTTGTGCCCCAATTTCCAGATTACTCTAAAAGCTTAGATTCACAATCAGATATTGTGATTTCACAATCTTCATTGGATGGATTTGAAAATGATACTGAATACACAACAGCTGCCCCAATCTTGCAAAAGCACAAGCGAATAAAACACTTACATCAAGTATTTTATTTCCTTGAATTTTTTTTTCAAACATTCATGACAGGTTAAAATATTTTTGTTACTTCTTGAAAATTTAGATCTGCAAAAGAGAAAACTTAATTGTAGAGTTAGATAGTTTTTATATGATTTGTTTAAGGTGCCTAAAATTTTAAGTTGTCAATAATTTTAATGTATGTCAAGTAAAAATTGGCACAAATAGGCTGATCCTGAGAATCAGGAAAACCACTTAAAAGACAAAATAGAATAATGATATATTATATATTGTGGATAAATGGGCTAATTATAAAAAATTCTTTTTGTTGATGATGAGCTACTTCACGTAAAGCAATTTGCTCCTAACTGGTAATGATTAATTGTTTAAATAACTAGTCTATGTCAAACATAACAACAAAGCAGTATAAGAAAAAGTTTTGTTTGGCTTGTTATTTTACCTAAAGGTAAAATAACCAAACTTCCTAACAACCAAAGCCTCCAAGTCTGTAGTGGCCTCTAAGTCTGTAGTGGCCTTGGAGAGGTAAATAACATCAAAAAATAATTTTTTATAAAAAATATTAGTAAAATTCATTTTAGACCAGTGAAATAATCATCAGCTGATAAGTGTGCCTCAACAAGTGTATAATCAAGTGGTTGTTCCTGTTGTTTCAACAACATCACAGCAATTGTAAATGTTTGTTTTGAACTTATTTGGTCTTGTTACACTATGCCAAACCAGTTACTGACCGACTACAAGTACGAAAGAAAACAGTTAGACATTTAGCAAATTTGCTCAAAACTCATCCTATTGAGGATTTTTATGCAATTCTTAAACAAGTCCTAGTTTTAACTAGAAACAAAGATTAGGTCTGCCTGAGATAAATAAATATCAAGATTGTACAAAAGTTAGTGTTGATGACACATTAAAGGCTTGATTAACTATCCTGTTACAAAGTTTAATTATTTTTTCATAATAATAAAGTTGTAATTTTTTATAATTTTTTAATTCTGTATCTTTTTAAAATTATATCAATATAAAATCTAGTTGTGTCAATTCTTATTCAACACATGTTAAAATATCAAGTTTGCTTGAATCAGTTTTTAGTAAAGTTACCTGATTCAAGAAATATTTTATTGTTTGATTTAATATTAAAATCAGTGTTTTTTTTTTAGTTTTTTTTTTTTAGTTTTTTTTTTGTTGTAATTATAACTTAAAGATAATATAATGAAACTTTTTAAACAAAAAGTTGTAAAATACAAATAGAAAATAACTGAGTTATTTATTTATAAGTTGTTATGTAAATATAAGTTGTTATTTAAATATATATAAGTTGTTATGTAAATATAGGATAATGCAAACCTTTTATGGGCAACAATTTTTTTTAAAAACTGTAATTATGATTTGTATTCGTACAATATTGTTTGAAAATGTACATTTTCTTTTTTTCTCTCATTAGTTAGTTGATGCTTGTCTACAATTAGATCCTTCTGCAAGGTTTTTTATTTGTTTTTTTTGTTTTGTTTTTGTTTTTTTTTTTGTTTACCTTACACAATTTTTAATTATCTAAAAAAACCATGACTTTTTATTAGAAATCACTTTAGACATACATTGACTAATTTAAAGTTTATACATTTTAATTTTTGCTTTAACAGACCATCTGCTTACCAGTTACATTATTGCTTGTATATCCGTCATGTAAGTTTTTTTAATTTCAAGTTATTTAATTAAATAAACTTATTATTCGCATGTTGATAGATATGTTAATTTAAAATGAAAAAAAGGTAATGTTTTTAGAATGTAATTTCAAGTTTTAGTTAAGTTTAAATTTTTTGGTTTAGCCTTTTCTTTTTTTTAATAAGAGTTTAAAAAATGAAGTAAGATGGCTTTTCATATAGCAACTCAACAAAATAAGGATCTTTAGGAAGAATGTATCAAAAATTGTAACCCTTATCAAGTTATAATAGTTTGATGTATTATGACATCACAAGTGGAACATCCTTACCGTCAATAGTTGTTTATAAAGCAGCAAACATGTATAAAGGGTTTTCGTCAGAGGATTAGCTGGCATTTTGTATCACTGCACAAAGTTCAGTTAGTTTGAGGCATACATTTGAATGTCAGTTTTTAGAATTGTTCATCCGTAACATGGTTAATGAGGGAAGCCTAAAGATTGTGCTTGAAGGAACCCTTGCCTAACGATTTTTTTTTTTTTTTTTATTTGCATTTATAAACAAAATTCTTAGATAAATAGTTTGCGGAGTTAAGTAATAGCTAAGCAAAACCTTGTTTAACTTGTGTTAGTGTTTTTCAAAGTAAATTTTAATAACAATTTTACATGTTATTCTTATCATTGTTATTAAAAGGTAAAGCGCAAACAAAAGGAAAAGGATTTTCCATCATTTACTACCATGCTCAATCCTCTGGAGCCTGTGACTAAATTTATTCCTGCAGACGGTATTTTTGTCTTTTTTGTATTTGTGTTTGTATTTTTTTTTTTTTTTTTTTTTTTTTTTGTTGTTGCTTGCGTTAATATGTTTTGTTTTGTTTGTTAAAAGCAATATTCGATCTTTTTTAATTTTGTGTTCAAATGTTTTATTATATAGGATCATATCTAGAAAGTAATTCTCCTACTATCGTATCCAACGAAGCCTGGTTGTTTCCCAGCTAGTTTTTGTTTATATAATATTGTATATTTTTTGTAGATACATGTGAAATTATCACATTCATATTTCATTGTGTTGTTAAATATACCTTTAAAATATTTAGAAATAAAAAAATATTCTTTTAATAAAAGTTCTTACAAAAAAAAAAAAAAAAAAAAAATCCACATTAATACCAACTATTGCAATGTACAACGTAATGTACAACGTTTAGTTGTGTCTCAGGCCGTTTGTCTTCTTACTTCATTAGTTTTTTTTTTTTTTTTTTTTGTTGTTTTTTTTTTTTTTTATAAAAAATAGTATTACTTAGGCTGAAAAATAAAAAAAACTTAAACTTTGTTTTTTTCATTAGCAGCCGTAACGCGCTTGCCTCAGAAACTAGAGATCCGTGGTTCAACACCACCTCTGGGCTAGTTTTATAACAACGGTAAGGGAGGAGGCGTAAACTTCCTTTCAAATGTTCTTCCGCGGTGCCCTGTGATAAGTCTGAAAGGACTTCTTGGGGCACCTAAAATAAATAAAAAATAAAAGTTGTGTTGGTAGCTACAGTGGTTGTTTTACAGGGTGTCTGCCAGATCAGGGAGTTGTGATATCTGCAAGAAAATTAGGTAAAATTTTTGAAAAAAATCAGAGAATATGTCTCTATCAAACTTACATAACATAAGGTGGTTATAAAAATTTTTTTTTGCTTTTGTGAATTGATTCTGTGAAACTTTTTCTTTAATCGTGTTAAATTTTGTTTGTTAGAAAGTTTCACAATCTTCATATTCCATGCATACAATGTAAAACAAATATACTAAGTTGAGATAAAACTTGAAGCAGCTCAAAGAACATCTAAAGCCTTATTTTTTATGTTAAAAATTTGCTTTTGTTACTTGAAAACATGAGCAAAAGTGTTCATAATTTGCATAACATATGGGATGGGATAACTCAGTTGGTTAGAGCGTCAAACGAAAAGTTAAAATCCAGACTGTTGAACGATACGAGTTCAAATCCCGCCACCGCCAACTCTGTTGCAAAAATGTTGGTCTATAACGGACGCTACTTTGGATTAGTCTTAATGACTATTTGTGGCTGTTCCTGTGCTAAGCCAACCGATATCTTTGGATATAAGAACATTGTATAGAAAAATATAGCATGAAAATTCAAATAAATAAAAAGCAAAGTATACAAAAACATTTTAATGGGTTAAAGATTGAATGATATAAACAAATATTTGGTTGTCAGTACGTTTTAATGCGTTTTTTAATTATATATTATAAGATTTTGTTTAATAACAAAAAAACGAAAGTATATTTAAAACTTTTTTTTAACAATAAGAAAGATAAATGAATGTACAAAAATCATTAAATGAAAAAATTTAATTTTGTAGCTTTTTTTATAGGTGAACTTATATATATATATATAAATAAACCTATATATATAAACCTTTTTATAGGTGAATAGGTGAACTTTTTTTATAGGTGAACCCTAAGTAACTTGTATATGTTACACGTTGTATAAAATTTTATTTGGCAGATAATTTTAAGAACTTCACTTGCTGCGTATAATGTGGGTTGTATTATTGTTTATATTTTTGCAATTGAAAAGGATTTTTCTAGGGATGTACCGAAGCTTCGGCTTCGGCTTCGGCATGCCGAAGCTTCGGCAATTTTGCCGAAGCTTCGGTTCGGCCGAAGCCAGGTCAAATTTTTGCCGAATCTTTGGCTTCGGCAAAAAATTTAAAGTAATTAAAGTTATAAGCTACTGTTGTACAAGTTATAAAAATATGCTAATTGCCAGTGTCTAATTAAGTTGTAAATTCAGGAATACAGAGTTAAAGTTGGAGTCTATACCATATACTTAGTATTATTTACTCCCAAATGTCTTGTTATGGAGGGGATGATAATAAATAAGTAGAAATATTTTGAATATAATAGTAAAATTAAGGAAGGTCTTCATACACTTTGAAGGCTTCCAAGTGTGACTTAGATGAACTGAATCAGCATTTTTATGCAGAATAAAAACCTTATTATTTAAAACAAATTAAAACTTTTTAAAAATAAAATGGAAAAAAAAACCTTAATTTGTATTATGTAACGAATTTATATTAATTTTTGTGTGGGATTACCGCAAATAGAAAAAAAATTGGTTTCAACATTTGACCTATAAACCTTAGTAATCTCACTTTAAAGAATATTAAAGATACGTTGCTACTATTTTAAATTCTGTGTATGTTAAATTTTATTTAACCATAATAATAAAAATTTACAAATTTTCATCGTAAGATTACAGAAATTGGTAAGGTGTCACTTATATAGTTACAAACTAGTCAATGGAGTGACACATAAAAAACATAAAGTTCTCAACAACAAAAAAGGAAGAAATGCAAATGAAATATAAATGAGGATAATAAAAAAAGAAAAAAAAAGTCAACCAAAACTATATAAATTAAAAGAAAAAGAAAAACAATGATAATAATTATTCTTGCTCTTTTATTAATATTATGAATACTTCTAAATGGAATTTATATATTAAACATATAAACTTATATTCTGGTTTCTTCTTATGATATGAAGACTTTTAAATTTTATTTAAAATAAATTAAATATTAAAGCTTTGATTACTTTGAGCTCTTATATTTATCATCAAAATTTATTTAAATTAAATAAACAATATAAATCAAATAAATATCAGCCTGCTCAGTCCCTCTTTATTTATAAATATAAAGTAAATAATAATATAATTATAAATAAAATATTTATAAAGTATTCTATTTATTATTTTATTTAAAGCTCACTCTACTGAGTTGTTAGATTACTATAGAAGTTTTTGCCACAGATAGTTAATATTTGATTTCAGATACTGATGCAGATTTATCCATTACAGAGACAGAAGAAGAATGAATGCTATAATTTCAGAGTGTAAAAAATTAAAAGAAGCTTAAGAAAATGTTATGTAGTGTTAAATTAAAAATAATAAAAAAAAACAACAACAACTTAAAAGTGTGTAAAAAAGAAGTTAGAGAGAAATCTATCAATTGTACTTTTTTTTAGCAGCAGGTTCACAACAGTTGTAGTGGAATACAAAATGGTCTTAACTTAGGGTTTTTTTTAGTTTAGAAATTGTTCGTTTAATGAATACAGAGAAGTAAAAAAAAGGTCTTGAAATAAATAGCAATAAAAAGATAAAGTGTGTTTGTAAGATTTTTTATGTTGTAGATACAACTAGATCAGCTAAGAGTGTTTATTTAGAGAAAGAGTGTTCAAGTGTAAAAGATTAATTTACTTGAGTAATATTCAGAGAATTTTATCCACTCTTAACAAAAGGTGCATTAAAGATAAAAATAAAATATACAGCACATGAAAAGATGCGTAACAGTAATTTATGGGGAATAAAATTTGAGGATGTTCAGCTAGCACACTATAATTAGATAGATCAAACAAGATGATTAAATAGAGGATTAAAAATTAGATGATTAGATAGAGGATTAAAGAGAAACGATGTTTACATAGAAGAACAGTATGGCTATAAAAGATCAACAAAATAGCAATAATCTTAGAAGAATATTGGGAATAGTTGAAAATATATGTGAGTTACTGATATTGTGAACTATATAACATTAATATGTTTTGCACACAGAAAAAGTAGAATTAGAAGTAGGAAAATTTGGGGAGAATATTTTAAAAAAGCTTAAGTTAAAAAAAAAACACTAGGTGCGGTAAAGTATCAGAAACGACATAATGAGAAACTTTTAAACAGGGGCGCTGAGAGCTTTTGCCCTGCCTTGGGCAGCAACCCTGACTTGTGTCCTCATTTTTATACATTTTTTCTATATTATTAGTCAAGGATCTTAGTTTTGGAACCTTTTTTGTTTTACACCCCTGCTGATCTGAATGCTGATTAAATTTTAAGCATATATAGTGCCGAAGCTTCGGCTTCGGCAAAGTGGCTTCGGCCGAAGCTTCGGCTTCGGCAAAATTTTAGCTTCGGTACATCTCTAGATTTTTCTAAAGAAATCTAGGTCTAATTTTTGTAAAGTTAAGGTGAAGTAATTTTACAATCAGGGAAAACAGTTAGAGGTACGGGGAAAACCATCTTTACCAATTGGCAGTTCCCCTGTTTTAGTTGATTTATTAAGAATATATATATATATTTTTTTTTGTATGTATTTAAGTGCTCTCAAAAGTCCTTACGGTCTTATCATAGAGCACCACGGGTGAGTATTTAACAGGAAGTTCACGCCTCCTTCCGTACCAATGTCGCTTGTTGGGCTAGAGCTGGCGTCGAACCTCTGGGTTCTGAGCCAGAACTCTAACCACTGCGCCACGGTTGCTCAGTATTAACAAAGTTATACAATCGGTAATAAGAACATGATGAATTTATATATATACGAAACATTTCATGGAATTAAACAAATTTAAAAAGTTAATATTATTCATGATTTAGTAATTAGTGCTTATTGATTCTCCTAAAACAAATTTTAAAGCTGCCATAATGTACAAAAACATTGTCCTCTCCCTACAATACCAATTGCGTATGCAAACGTTAAAGATGATCGGTCTTTTAATAATAATTTTAGTCAATAAGTTTCATTTCAAAGTATTGAAGCTTATTGACTATTATTACCATGGCTGACTCAGAATATGATTCATTATTATATTCAAAGAAAGTTATTGTTTTAAAATACTAAAAAATTGCAAGCAAAGTTAGCAAATGGAGTCTTCACTAGTCCAGAAATTTAACTTCTTATGAAACATGGTGGTTTTCCTGGTACGCTGACAGAATTACAGTGTGCTCCTTAGTTAAACCAAGAAGATATAGACTGGAGGAAGATTGAAGTTAAAATACGTAATTTCCCAGCAGTCACATAACGTTATTTCAACGTTCTTTCAACGTTGCGAAATGGTTGATATATGGTTGAAAAATAACGATTTAAATTTTAACGTTATTTCAACGCTAGTTCGACGTTAAAAAAAAAAACTTTGAAATTTCAACGTTGATTCAACGTTTATTTTCAACTAAAAACAAACGTTGAATTAACGTTGAAAAATAAACGTTGAAATAACGTTGAAATTAGGTTGAAATTTAGATTTGAGAGTTCGCTGACGCAAATGTACTAATAATTCGGAATTTAATTAAAATTTAATATATCACATATGTTAGTGCGTGGGTTCTTTAGATAAATTCAAATAAAACTTTTAACAAATGTGTTAATGTAATAAAAGTGAAAAAATTAAAAGACTTTTTTGCCATGAAAATATGTATAATTTTACAAAAATTTATAAGAATTGGCATTATACACAAGTTTTTTAAAAGTCTTTTTACATTGTGTAAAATACCTTACATATCATATTTTATATAAAAATAGTGGATTAAAGATGAATATTTAAATCATTTAAAGAAAAACTATAGTGTGGACCAGAATGTTTTGGTTTGTATAGCCAAAAGACAATATGTTTGTATGAATGAAATTCCATCAAGTTGAATAAAGAATGGTTGGCGGATGTGTATTTGATTCACGTGGATTAAAACGATGATTTATTTTAGCCGTTTTTTAATATAATTTAACTAAGAAATGCCACCCTTCCCTAACCCCGTGAATCAAATACACCTCCGCCGAATGGTTTAGTCCATTATTCGAATCGAAATGTGAAATTTACAGTAAAAAATTAAAATATAATACAACAGTTGATTGGTATGATTTAAACTAAAATGTGATGAAACTACAGGTGTTATAACCTATTATATACAAATGATTATTACATATATTTATAAAAGCAGCATTAAAGACCATTTAATCTTTATCAAATCTTATGTAAAGTATTTATTGTATTCTTTTTGTTAGGGATCGGTATAATTACATCAGGTAAAGTAAAAACATATATAAACTGGATTTCAGGTGTTAACATTACTCCATAGCAGGTTGATATTTTCGTTCTATCGTTGTTGTTTTTTTTAATATTTTGCTGCATTTTTAAAATAAAATAAAGATGTTCTACTGTGCGAGAAGGAAAACGGTTCTACTAAACGAATGTTTGACTTGAGCGATGTATAACTGTCTAAAAGGTTTGTGTTATGTGTGTGTTATTGCGTTGATGTATGATGTTAATGTATAATGTTTAATTATCCAAATAAGTTGATATCTTGGTCAATAATAAAATAAATTAGGCACAGATCAGTAATGGGTTGTTTTTTTTTCCTACTATTGATCACTTAATGTTCACATTCGCTTGTGAACAATGTGAAGTATAATAATACTTGTAAAATGTACAAATGTACCTTACTTTAAATATTTTTATTTAGATGCAGTTACCTGATGTTCTTAAATAAAAATACACAATGCACAAAGATAGAATTTAGACTATTTGAAGGTTGCACTATATTGATTAGATCGTGGAAATTGTATCAAATCAAAATGAGTCTGATAACAAAAAGCGATAAAGATACATATGAATTTGATATTGGTGATGAAAATAACGATATCATGTTTTTATTAAGATCGTTTTAAAAATAACTTTAATTTTGTATAAGTTATTGTTCTAAAAATGTATAATTTATTTTTTTGGTTTTATTTGTTTTCAATAATTGTCTTTCAATTTTTATAATTTAGTTACCTGCTTTAAAAAAATGGTACAGGGTAGATTATTTGTAATGCTATAGCAACAGTTAGTATTATATTTATTATTGTTATTATTATTATTATTTCTATTATTATTATTATATAAAATAAACTAATAATAATAATAATAATAATAATAATAATAATAATAATAATAATAATAAAATGAAAAAAACATCTTTTCTAATCGCCAGTGTCAAATTTAGAAAGAAGGAATCTGTTTCTGTGACTGCACTTAGAAGCAATCTCACTCCTTTTGTTCAATAGGTTAGTATTTTTATAATTTAGGATTTTATATTTTTGGGTGAAACATAATTTACAAGATTTGGATGTTGGATTTTATGCTTTACATCGCCTGAGAATTTTCCACTTAATTTTAGAAATTAAATTAGCTTCTTTTAACTTCCATACCTGCTTTGAGAGCTCAGTATCATTTTTGTATTTAGAGATGTTAAAAGATTTAACGTGATTAGCGTACCTTAATTTAAAAGGAGTGGTTAGCATGATTAGCAGTGGTTGCAGTTGCTTGATATACAATATTACTTGATATAGGGGAACCTGTTGTACCTTTGACCACTTTTTGCTTTAAGGCGTTTTTTGCGTAGTCTATTGAGTAAACTTAAACCATTTAAACTATATAATATTCTTTCATATTTTGCCAAAAAATTATACTTAGGACTTTTTTTTCATTTGACAAAGAAGTATCTTTTTCCCGCGTTTTAAAAAAAGAAGTCTTTTGGTCAAAGGTACAACACATATGTTGTACCTTTGACCGATGCGCGTTGTACCTTTGACCAAACTGTTATTATTATAAAATCATGCAATGTTTGAACCTCTTTAATATTTTAGCTTGTTATATGTTATATAGCAACTTTTGGCCTACCTTTGTCAATAAAAAACAAATCTTATTATTTTGTAATCAATCCTAATTGTCTAAAAAAATCCTTACAATATTGCCAAGACTCGTTTATCGAAGTTACGATACTCAGTCAGTATTACTAATAGTGTTACTAATTTTTTAAAATAAAATCAGTTATTATAACTATTTAGATAATGTCACATATTTTTTTCAGTTAGATGCTACTTACATGAAATATTTAGGGTTAAGGTCCAAAACTTTAAGCGCGATTTAGTTGTACAAAATATGTTTTCTAATATCTATAGTTATTTTTATTATTTAAGATAAGAAAAGAGCAAAAATAGATTTTTATAACTTATATCAGCTGGCGGTCTATATTCATTTACATATGATCATAATGCTTTTTAAAGGAAATATTTTGATGATGACAACAAAAAAAAGCAATAATAAAAGAGTATAATATATTAATTATTACAAATAGTCAGATCAACATCAAACATAAGATACTGACGTTTAGATGAACCACCACCAATACTTGGTGGTGGAAGTTTCATAATAATATCTTCAAGTTCCACTTCATAAAGATTGTCATCTTCTCTTATAAATTTGTTACAAAAGTCTCCTGATTTCTTAAGATACTAAATTTTGTAAAATATACCAACAACTTCTATAACTTCTGCTACATAAAGTCTAGAGTATTTCTTTCCGACCAACTTGACAATTAAAAAACTTCCAGAAACAATTTCACTTTCATCATCAAGTATATTTACTCCAAAATCAATTTCATCAGAGCTTTCATTATTTTAACACATGTCAGACTGACTAAAAATAATCTGTTTTGCCATTTTTTTTCTTTTGCTTGAAGAGGACTTTTTAAATTGTTGGTTATTAGATTTTGCATCTAAAATAACTTTAATTTCAGGTGTATCAGTTAAAATACGTGATTTTCCCTTACGTCTTTTTGAAGTATTTGTTTTTTTTAATTTGGCTTTAGGATGAGGTCGTATTATCTCAGGTGAAACAATAAATGATTTTGATGGTAAACTCACAATAGGGATTTCCCCTAAAACAATAAATGATGTTGATGGTAAACTGGATTAAGCAGTTTTAACATTAATACTTTCATTAGAAATGCAAGCTTCAGTATTCACTATTGGCCTATCAGTAACACTTGCAGCTAAAAAGTCAATATCAGTAAAAATATTTTCATTAAATGGATAAAATCCAGTAGATTTAAAACTGTTTATAATATTATTTGGTACAAAAGCATGAGAATAAGCTTGACCAACAAGGTAAGATATATCATAAATTGTAACTGATTTACCAGCATTACCTGGTGATATCATCCAGTTATTCATGGCATTCTTATAAAAAGTTTTAAATGGTCCAAAAACATCACGATCAAGAGGTTGCATTTTATGGGTTGTGTGAGAATGAAATGTCATTAAAACTATGTCTGATTTTTTTGCTAACTCAATAACAGAAATGTTTACATGACTCTCATGATTATCCATTATTAAAAGAAAAGGTTTTTCAATTGATGGTCGCACGTTATTAATAAAATGTTCAAGAAATTGCAGAAAAATGACTTCAGTTGACTATCCGGACTTATTAGCTGCTCCTACACTTCCAGGAGGACAATTATTTAACATTTGATCTTTGAATTTAGCACGTGGAAATACAAGCTATTTCCAGTAGCATTAATGGCTGTAATCATTGTTACATTATTGCCTCGTTCAGCACAAGTCATGCTCCCTATTTGTTTTTTGCCTTTTGGAGCTAGAATTTTTGGTGGTACGTGAACTGTGGTAATTCCTGTTTCATCACATTTTGATCTATCAAATATTTGGATCTATCCAAATATTTGATAGATCAAAATGATATCGTTCTAAAACATTTTTGTAATTTTTATATACAATTTTTACGGTTTCTCTATTGAATGCAGAAGATCTACCAAGACTTGTAGGTTGTGGTTTACGTAGAGATAGCTTGTTATTATATCTTTTGCGAAAATCTCGTAGCCATTGTTCACCTGCACATTTATTTTTTATCTATGAAGTTTCAACTTTTTTATGATTTTCTAAAGCATACTCATATGCAAAGGACCTTATCTGCTTTAATGTTAGTCCATAATGCATATTTGCAGCATCTACCAAGTAGTTTACCAATACTAATTCTTCTTCTCTTGAGAATTTTTTTTTTGGTTTGGTATGCGAATATAAATATTCGCAACTACCAGATTTTTTAAATTGCTTTAACTGGTATATTAAAGATGATTTTTTAATGTTGCAATGTCTTGCAGCTTTACTTAAACTCATTTTTTGTTGAAGCACAATATTCACTGCATTAAGCATATCCGTTTCGGAAATCTTTTGGCGAAAAACACCAACCTTGCTCCTTGGCATTTTAAGACTAAAATAAATTAACAGAGTTAACTATTTTTATACATTTAATTCCCTATAGCTGTGCAGAAATTAGGTAATAAAATGAACTTGATAATAACATTGCTTCAGCTATCCAACTAACTAAATGTAGTAGTGGTCCAAGAATAAATAGTTAATTGCATTAAAATTCAATGGAATTATTTCATTACCATTATACTAGAAACAATTTTGCATTAAAAAGCAATAGAGTACAGTTATTATAGATCTCTATAATAACTGGATAGCGCATCTCTATTATCAAAAGTGAAGCCAATTTTTTGTACGGCCGCCATATTGGAAAGCCCCTGAATACCGAAAATACAGTGATTGCGCTTGAAGATGTACCTTTTTACTTCGTTTATATCTACTCGACCAAGTCACATATTTCAATGATATTATTATATTTAAAATGTTTGAAGGTGTAAAAATTATAAAAGGGAATCAAAAACACGCAAAACATTAATGACGAAGAGAAATATCGTTATAAAGAAATAATAAAATTTGTATTGCTTTCTATGAACTTGTTAAATTTATTGAATTTATGATATTCTAAATAAAAATTTTCTGAAAGAAAAATTGATAGTTAATCTGGTTACTTTTGGGTGTTTATTTTAACAACTTGATGCGACCTTACTTAGCAATAGTAGCTGGAAAGTAACTTTACAAGTATAAAACATGATAAAAACATTGTATCAAACATTTTTGTAAATGGTTTTCTAATTTTTGAGACTCCGAGGACATGTTTATATTGTTCCACAATTGCTATATCATCAACTATGCAATACTTTATTAAAATTGATATCACTTAATAACAATGTTTTGTTCTGTTGCTTTGCTAACTTTAATTACACTTTGTGAAGGTTTGACAAAGCCATCTCTAACTTTAAAAAACACTAGATATTTGGTGATAACTAGTTATTTGCAGTTTTACATTAAAGTGTTTAGTGTTTTAGACTAAATACATGTTGATTGTGTATATGTAAATATGGTATAAATGAAAACAGATGGTTTCTTTCAAGTTATTTTTAAACTATCGACTCTAAAGTAAAATAATAATGATTCAGCTAACATCTATCAGTTTTATACTGATAGATATTAGTTGTATAATTAATAAATATTAAAAATATTTCTTGTGAAAACAAATAAGCAACATAAAAGACCAAAATGAAAGGTGAACAATTTTTTTTCTAAGTGTACATACTTAATTACTTTTCCCTATCACATAATACCTTTTTATTCAATGTTTGTTTTGTTATTCAATGCTTATACAAGTTATTCAATGATTATTTTGTTCAAGATGATAGAGCTAACTATTATTTTATTTATAGTTTTTTACTTTAACATATTCTTTTGTAATTGCAATATCTATACAAATGTTCTGGTGTTGTGAAAATGTCTCATGGCATTTACAAAAATGTCTTGAAAGTATTTTTCGACAATTAACCGTTAAGTTAATATATATATATATATATATATATATATATATATATATATATATATATATATATATATATATATATATATATATATATATATATATATATATATACACGCACGCAAAAAACAAAATTATTAAAAGTCAGTATAACGATTTGCTATATGTTGCCTAAGGAACCTTTAAGTTGTATTACAATCATATTGCCTAACTAATGATTCATACAGCAAA